AGAAGGAGCCGAAACGGGAGGGCCCCGAAGGGCGACATCCCTGGGACGGTCCTCGCGCGTCGGGTCCTGGGGGGCGATCTGCGTTCGACACTGCGCCAGCGTCTCGCCAGCGTATTCTGGGTGCTCGAATGACTTGGGATGTGTGTGGCCCTCAAGTACGAGTGGAACACCATACAACCCGAACGCCCCCCTTATAGCCTCAGAGAGGTGCACCCCCGGCGGAACGCGAGGACGGAGCGACGTGCACGTGCGGCTCGGCACTGCCGACGGGGGCGGCCCCCGCGCGCCAGAGGCGCGCCCTTTTGCCACTGGGGGAGGGGCGCTCTCGAGCGGCCTCGCGAGACGGGCGGCAAGGGCACCGCCTCCGAGAAATGTTTTGGGCTCGAAGTGATCCGTCCCCCCTGAGTGGCCCTCACCTTGCCTCCCCCTCTCTGCGTCCGCCTGCTCTGTCCCACTTTCCCGCTCTTGCATGTTGGCTCGTTCGCCACAACGGTGCCCCCGTTCAGTTCACTCCTTCCGCCAGCGCAGACGACCCCTGCCTAGCCTCCGACGCAAAAATGAGGGGGGGCGATACACGAAGGGGAGAAATGTGCCCTCTTCGGGCCCCAAAGGCCACCTTCTGGGCCCCTTGAGGGGCGCTCAGGGGCACCTTTCCTGCAGCCCTCGCTGCCGCCCCCTTCATCGCCCCCCCCATTCCTCGCGGTCCAGGTGCTCCGTGACACATTAGGTGTTCGGGTACGGACCAGAGGATTTCTTGACTCTGCTCGGGTGGTTTCGTTGCGATCCGGACAGAGGCCACCAGAGGATTGATTACGGTAGATTCGGGTCGTGTCGACCGGCGGCGACCCCGCCGCCGGCGTTCAACGCTGGACGCCGCCGCGATCCAGAATCGGTCGATGTTGAATGATCCGACGTTTCAGAAGCGGCCGTTCGTTCAGGGTTGAACGATCTCTGCGGTGTCAGCAACCAACACCCGGCTCGACACCGCGAACCAGCCGTAACCAAGCATGGCCGCGAGGTTCGCTTGATCACCCAGGCCTGAATCTGGAGGAAGTCACGAGCGGGACCCTCGTGTGTGAGGGAATCCCGAAGAAGTCTCGAGCGGGAGCCCCCTCCTATGGGGTCCCGACGTCAATGTTGGAATCCGAGCGAGGTCATCCAAATCTCGTAACTGTTGTCACCTTGGGGCTCCTCGGGGTTGAATCCTCCCTCCCTGTGGGGTCCCCACCTCCGTGTTGGAACCCGAGCGGGCTCGTCCAGATCCTGTCACCGCTGTTCCTTTTGGGGCCCCCCAGGCTTGAATCTCGAGGTCGTCTCGAGCGGGAGCCTCGTCGGTGCAGCGAATCGCGAAGAAGTCTCCAGGAAGCCCCTCGCCTCGCGACGTCGGCGCCTTCGGCGCCGCCCGTCCCTCCCAGGGGGGCCCCGGCGGGGGCGTCCTGCCCGGGCCCCCGCCGCCGCGCCGACGGGCCGCGCCGGCCTCAGGCGACGCGGAGGCTGCCCCTGCCACCGAAGGCATTGCCCGTGGGCCACAGGGAAGGAAGGCGGCGGCCCCCGGGGGGCCGGAGGGCTCCTCCGAAGGGCTGAGAGGCGACCCGTCCTCTTCCTCGTCCTCCTCCTCCTCCTCGTCGTCCTCCTCCTCCTCCTCCTCCTCCTCCTCCTTCTCCTCCTCCCCCTCCTCCATCTCCATCTCCTCCATCTCCATCTCCTCCATCTCCTCCTCTTTCTCCTCCTCTTTCTCCTCCTCCTCCTCCTCCTCATCCTCCTCGGGTCGCCTACGGCCCCCGGGGAAACTGTGCACCGGGGACGCGCCCAGTGGGCATTTCGGGGAACGTTTCGGCACCCAAGGCTGCACGCGCCCACCGAATCTGACGGCGGGAGGTGGGACCCAAGGGCGCGGAGCGAAGGGAGGACAAACAGCGCCAGGGGTCAAGGAAATAGCAAGCCCCGGGCATAGATAAGCGCGTTCCAGTACTCGCAAAGAAATTACTCGCAGATGGCCTGGCTCCGCCGCGAGGGATTTACGATACATTACATAGTCTAGGCCTCCAAGATGGGGTCCGAGTAGATGGGATCGGAGGATCGCGCCGCACCGCCGATGCGTCGGCGATGCCGCGCGATCTGGAGCCCGATTTTCTCTGCAAGAACGTCGCCGCCGCATCGCCGATGCGGAGCCCGATTGCTTCACGTCGACGTCGCCGATGCGTCGCCGACGCCGACGATGCATCGCTGGTGCATCCCCGATGCATCGCCGATGCATCGCCGACGCGTTGCCGATGCATCGGCGATGCGGCGCGATCCTCCGACCCCATCTACTCGGACCCCATCTAGGAAGCCTCTAGCTACTCGCAAAGTCACCGCTCGCAGATGGCCCGGCTCTGCCGCGGGGGGCCTCGCGTGGAGGAAGACGCGCTTTTTTTCAGACGTCAGCGAGCCGTCACTTTGCGAGCAGCGGAGTGCCGGTCTCGGCCGTGGAGTGCGCCCGGCCTCGCTGCCGGCCCGCTTCCGCGCCCGCCTCGCTGCCCGTGGCGGGGCCTCTGGGAGGAGTCCCTGCCGGAGGCGCTCGGCCGCAGGCGAGGTGTCTCCCCCAGCCCCCCGACCCTCTCGGCGAGCAAATCGAGGCCTCTCGGGCAGGGAGGGCGAAGCGCGGGGACGCACCCCGAGGGGGGCCACCGCTCGGACGCACTCCTGTGTCGAGGACAGGGGCGCCCCCCTCTGTGGCGCACACCTCCCAGGGCCGGGCCCTGCACTCCTGGCCCACCCGATCTGCACGCACGAAATGGGTACTGAAAGAATGCGTACAATGCCCAACAGCGGATCTTGTTCATTTTGAACAGGGCTCGCTGTCCACGCCGCCGCGGCCTGTGTCCATTCGAGACAGGAGGCCGCCTGCCCAACAGCGGCCGCTGTTGGTTTGGGACAACATTTGCTGTTGGGCTTTGTACCCATTCTTTCGGTACCCATTTCGGGCGTCGAAACCCGAGAGACCCACGAAGCCCAGGATAGGGGTCGACACATCCCTCGTTACTCGCGACTCTCGGAGAGGAGCAAAAACACACCATTCACATAGACTCTTGGCGCTCCGCGCGGATTTCTTGGATCCGAGTTGGGCTGCTCCGGCGGCGCCTCGGGCGCCGCACCCGGCGCTCTCCGCGAGCCCGGGAGGGGGGTCCGGCGCAGATCCAAGAACTTCGCGCGGAGCTCCGAGTTTCTATGTCTGTGCCATTTTTCGTCCCCCTAGAGACACACACACAGAGGGCAACTGCTGGGAGGGGGGCACGAACCTTCGCCAGAAGTTTCTGCTTATGACGCTTCTCTTTTCTCTATATGCTCGGTGGAGCCGTGGGCGGCCCGGGCCTTGCGGGTGCACCGTCCGCCCGCGGCCTCCTCCGCGAGAGGGCGTTGCGGGATGCTGCCCGTGACGGGGCACGGAGCGCGTGCCCCCAGGAGGGCGCACACGGGCGCGCCCGCAGCCTCCGCTCTCGCGGGTTCCGGGAGGCGCGATCCGAGATGTAAGCCGGGCCTGTCCCTCTACAGGAGGAATGTTCAAACATAGGCAAAACATATTCAGGGGACGATTTTTGCCATGCTAGTTTTTTGGGGGCATTTTTCGTCTATGATTTTAAATTTTTCCTTCGAGATCCCCCTGTAGGGGGGCATGCCCGACCTAACACGAGATCTCCCGGGTGCCCAGGAGTGCAGCCTTGCGGAACACGGGGCCGTCAGTGAGCGAGCGAATGGGGAACATCATCGCATCATGCGGGGGAGCCGATTTTCGGCGGCGAGCGAGGGGGGGTGGACGTGAGAAGGAGACGACCTTTTCAGAACGTTCGGAAGTCTCCAGGTCTTCTGAGAAGTTTTCTGAGCCTTCCCCGAAGACACAGAAAATTTTTCAGAAGGCCCGAGGGCTTCTGAGAAGTCCCGCTGCCTTCTGAGAAGGCCTTCTCCTTCTCATTCCCCCCCCTCGCTCGTCGCCAAATCATGCGGGGGCGCCAGTTTACTTGGCCAGGGCGTCGTGGTGGTCGCCATTCGGCGGCGTCCTCGTCCATGTTTGGTTGGTCATTTCAGGACGGGAGAAGGACTTCCTGAGATTCGTTTGCCCTGAGATTCGTTAGCTCCTCCTCATCCGCCTCTTCCTCCTCCTCATCCTCATCCTCCTTCCTTGTAGGTTTCACACCTCTGCCTTGCGCTGCAACAGAGAAGCTCAGACAACTTTCTGAATTAGCAGACGTTGCGCTGTCGGGCGCAGAGTCGTCGGCGCAGAGTCGGACGAGGCTCGAAGAGAAACAAGCAACACGTACCTCAACATGCACTTCTTGGGCATGCGCTGTGACCCCCCTGGTGGCGTCTCCAGCGCTTTGTCATCCCAGAGGTGGTGCAGGGCCAGTACGCCAACGCCGATACGGACGCATACACGTACTGGATCCTGAACCAGTACGCTGGGGAGCTTTCGTCCCTGGACTACGCGCTGTCCCACGTCGAGGGCCTGCGAGAGAAGCAATGGCGCCGCGGGCCTCAGTCGAAGCGCCCTGGGGTGGCCTCGGGCGACGGACGGGGCCGGCCGGCCGTGTAGCACACTCTGTTTTTCTGCGGTCGTCGTCTGTGGAGATGCGTGTGGGCCTCTTTGAGCACTTGGCATCTGTCGGACGTGCGTATGTTTTGTTGCCGGGGCCAGCGCCTGCACATCTTGGACCATCGTGGAGCATCCTGGATCCTCGGGGGAAACAAACATACGCACGAAGCCACGCAATACGCGGGGAATGGGCGTCCGAGCGATGGCAAGACCATCCTCTTGTGTTCAACGCAGCCTGGCTTGCCGCTTCCTCGTGGCTGAGCGTCCGCCAGCGTTCCGACCGAACGTAGGTTTCTAAAACCGTTTGTCGCCGTTGGGAGAGCTTTGAGGGTCATCTTGGTCCATCTTGGGGCTACACGGGGGCATCCTGGGGCTGCTGGGGCCATCGTCGGGCTATCCTCAGCAATCTTGGGGCTATCTCTCAGAGCCCCGAATCATCAGGGGTGACTCGGGGGTCAGGGCTAACTCGGGTTCGTTTTTCGGGATCCCGAACCCGAGTTGCCCCGGGCCCGAGTTACCCCGGATAATTCGGGCGTCCAGAGCCCCAAACCATCAGGGGTAAATCGGGTCAGGGCTAACTCAGGTTCGATTTTCGGAAATCCAAACCCGAGTTACCCCAGACCAGAGTTACCCTGGATATCTCGGGCGCCCAAATATTTGGCCAACCTTAGGGGCGCCATCGGGTCGTCCTGATGGCTTGATGGGCCAACCTGGGCGTTAGGGCGGCATCTTCGGGCCGTCTTGACCGATCTCGAAGGCGCAGGGGGCCGTGTTGGAGCGACCTTGGGACAGCATGGTAGCAGCAGCAGCAGCAGCAGCAGCAGCAGCAGCAGCAGCAGCAGCAGCAGCAGGAGCAGCAGGAGGAGGAGGAGGAGGAGGAGGAGGAGGAGGAGGAGAATGAGGAGGATGACGAGGAGGAGGACGAGGATGAGGATGAGGAGGATGAGGAGGAAGAGGAGGAGGAGAAGGAGGAGGAGGAGCGCCACCAGCAGCATCTGCAGTAGCAGTAGCAACAGCAGCAGCGGCAGCAGCAGGAGAAGAAGGAGCAGACAACAACAACCTTGGGGCATGCAACAGCACATAGGAAGACACGGCTACGCTCGATGCTCTTTCGGGGGCGTCTTGGGGCCCTCGGCCATCCTACAGGCATCTCAAACCATCTTCGGCCGTCTCGGGCGGTTGAGGCTCCCTTCCAGGCTCCTTGGGGCCATCCTGAAGGCCTCTTGAGGCCCACCTGGTTGTCGTGTGGCGTCCCCATGGGCAGTCTGGTGCAGCTGAGGGACACTCCCCCAGATTTTTTTGTTTGAGCGGCTAGCCCCCCTGGTAAACAGTAGAACGGAGACAGGGCTGGAGAGAAACTAGACACACAGAAAACAGCACAAAGAAAACAAGGCTGCAGTCCAACAGTACGCTTCACAGCCTCGAGTCCCCAGGGGGGCCGTCGGATTTCATACCTGTGATCTTCCGCGAATTGAGAGGGCGTATCGGGCCTTCAACGTCTTGAAGCAGCAACGTTTTTTGGGTTTCGAGTGCGTTAGGGGGCAGTTTGTTTGTGTTTGGGTTATAAGCAATACACTCGGACACAGCCCCTGGGAAGTTGTCGGGATCTCTGTTGGATCGACGACAAGCGCGCGTCGGAGGTCTGGGTTCAAGGTGTTGATAGAACTGGTCCTGGCCCAAGTTGTTCCCAGGGCTGCAAGGGGCTCCCAGGGAGCCCCCAAGTGGCCGACTTGGAAAACGGAGTCGACTTTGCTGACTCTCGCGCGTACGTACCCGCCTTCCCCGCGCGGTGGAAGCCTCTGCGTGAGGTCGCCGTGCCATCTTGCGTAGGACTGCTTCTTCTCGTATGTTGAGCGGTCGGTCGCCACGTGCAAGTTCAGACTGGAATGGCGCTCTTGGCTGAGTGTCATCTGTGGCTCCTCCTGCAAGGGGCGAGGCTGGAGGACCGAGGTTCCAGGGTCCGATGACCGAGTCTCTTCCCGCGTTTCCTGCCACTTCCCTGGGCGCTGGAGGCCCAGGGCCGGAGCAGGGCTGGACCTGAACGCTGTTCTGCTGGACCTCGGCTGTGCTCTGTTTTTCGTTCCGGGAGGGAGGTATCGGGAAACGGGTGGAGCAAAGCGGCGCCGTGTCGGGGAGGACGCGGAGGAGGAGGAGGAGGAGGAGGAGGAGGAGGAGGAGGAGGAGGAGGGGGAGGAGGGGGAGGAGGAGGAGGCCCAGCCCCGAGCTGGAGAGTAGACGGGGTCGGAGGACCGCCTCGCCTCGCCGATGCGCCGGCGGTGCGGCGCGATCCGGAGGCCGATGTTCTCTCCACCGGCGTCGCCGCCGCGCCGCCGGTGCTCGGGGGTGGACAGAACTCAGGAGAGAAAGAAACACACAGACACAATTAATCCTCGATTCCCAGGAAAATATGGGAAAATATGGGAATTGGGGGGGAAGACAAAAACCCAGAAAATATGAGAAAATATGGGGACTATATTTATTTGTGTGTATTTATTTGTGTGTCCTAATTTCCCTTTAAGAACCCCCAACAGTGACACGTCGATTAGTGAATTGTCCGTTTTCAGTTCTCGAGAGGGCGCTGCGGCCGTTGTTTTCCAGGCTTGCGCCCGCCAGGTTTGGGCCTCAGGTCGTCTTCACTAAACCACGTTTTACTACAGGGAGGTCTGTCCATCCCCGAGATGCACGTTCGGAGGCGTCCAGGTGGGCGGTACCGACGAGAGTGGAATCAGAGCAAGAAGAGGTTCGGGGGTGGACAGGCCTCCCTCCCTGACGCGTCGATGAGCGAATCGGCTGTTTTTCGGTTCGCGAGAAGGCGTCGCGGTCGTCATTTTTGCGGGTCCAGGTCCGTCGGTTTCAGTCCGAGGCCGTTGTCACTAAATCACTGAAGGGAGGTTTGTCCACCGCCGAAAGGTATCCATGCCTCTACACTTCCTCGTTTTCCCCCTTTTGGGCCTCCTCGGAGGCCCTCGTCGCCGCCGCTGGATTCGCGTCGAACTCCTGGTCAGAACGCACCCCAGGAGAGGTCCCGGGAGTAGCAGTATCGGTGCCTTTTGGTTTCTCCATGGGAGCCCATGCCAAGAAACACCCTGCTTGCCTCGAGGGTGCCCCGGGTTTCTTGGATGTCGACGCTTTTGCCACGGAAAGCGTGACGGGCGCACACCATAATTTTTGGACGCCCTGGGGTCTCAGGGTTGGGTTTGTTTTGGAAGGTTTCCTGTGGTCGGGCCCCTACTGAGGGCTGTATGGATCAGGGCTGGACCTAAACGCTGTTTTGCTGGATTTCGGCTGTGTTTTGTTTTTCGTTTTGGGAGGGAGGTATAGGAGACAGTCAGAGCAAAACGAAGCACCAAGCAGCGCTGAGGTCAAGCCCTGCTGTAGTGGGCTATATATACACACATATATTCTGTGGCAACGCAGAAGGCAATCCATATATATATATATATATATATATATATATACATACATATGTATATATGTATATGTATATATATATACACATGTATATATATATATATATTATGTGGCGTGGGTCGTGCTGCCTCCCAGCGCGGCTCCTGACCCCCCACTCGTCCTCTCGCGAACCGCCTCGGGCCTTTGATGCCCAAATCCCCCCTCCTCTCCCCGGCCCCCCTCGTCCGCGCAGCCGGGCTCTCCGGCCCCCGTCTGGGGCGGCCTCCGTCCCGGTCTGGATGTGCGCCTCCTCCCTCCTCCCTCCTCCCTCCTCCCTCCTCCCTCCTCCCTCCTCCCTCCTGTGCGCTGCCTGGTGTAGGAGGCCAGGAGGCTGACACCAACACCGATCTCGGCGGCGTGCTGCCACCGAGGGATGGCGATGCCGATCCAGGTGACATGAGCGCGTTTTTTTGCTGTTCGGCGACAGTGGGCATTCCATTATAGGGGGGGGAGGGGCCAGGGGGCATATAATGTAACGCCTCCCCCCGCCCCGTGCGCACGGCGGCAGTGCCCGGAGCGCACTGGGGGGGAGGTGCTTCACGTTATAGGGGAGGGGGGGGGAGGGGGGCCGAGGGCTTTAGTGCACGTTATGCCCCAAACAATGAAGAAATACGCTCCATGCGGGCTTCCCAGGTGGCCGGAAGACTAATCATCACCAACAACATTTGGGATCATTGTCGCCTGGTGGAGGCAACCCCCTGTGTTGGGGTCGGTGCCCACTTCCAAGCCTCCAACGTCGCACGCTGTCCGGGGAAGGGGCCTCAAAGAGCTCCGCAGCAGTCGGCAGTCCGAGGAAGTGTCCTTCGGAGAAGGAAAAAGGTCATGAATCGGCGCTGGCGCCCCCTGGCGGCGCCTCCAGCGCCGCCCCTGGCGCGCTTCCCGCGCCAGGGAGGGGGCCACAGCGCAGATCCAAGAAATCCGCGTGGAGCGCCAAAAGTTTATTTTTATGACGTTTTTCTTCTTCTTCTTCTTCTTCTTCTTCTTGCCTTGGGGGACCCCCTGAGGTGACCGATCCGAGGGGGGTCCGCAGCAAGCATTCGGTCGGGCATGTCCCCCTACAGGCGGATTTTGGACGACAAACATGACATGCATAGTCAGACATACTCAAAGAAACGTTCCTTGATTCTTCCCAACCATCCTGTGGTGTTGGGTCCTCGCTTTGAAGAGACGGTCCCCGCGCTCCTCCTCCTCCTCCTCCTCCTCCTCCTTCCTCCTCCTGCCTCCTCCTCCTCCTCCTCCTCCTCCTCCTCCTCCTCTCCTCCCTCCTCCCCCTCCTTGCCTCTGCCCTCCGCATGTTTTTCTGTTTCGGCACACCCCTCACACGTTTCGTGGCCCATAGGGAGCTCCAACTACGGTCCCAGTGGCGGAGCTCGCATGGTATCCCCGCCCCATTTTGGCACACCCCTCGCACGCTTCGTGGCCCCATAGGGAGCTCCACCTACGGTCCAAGTGGCGGAGCACTCGCATGGCATCCCCGCCCCATTTTGGCACACCCCTCGCACGTTTCGTGGCCCCATAGGGAGCTCCACCTACGGTCCCAGTGGCGGAGCACTCGCATGGCATCCCCGCCCCATTTTGGCACACCCCTCGCACGCTTCGTGGCCCCATAGGGAGCTCCACCTACGGTCCAAGTGGTGGAACTCGCATGGCATCCCCGCTCCATTTTGGCACACCCCTCGCACGCTTCGTGGCCTCATAGGAAGCTCCACCTAAGATCCCAGTGGTGGAACTCGCATGGCATCCCCGCCCCATTTTGGCACACTCCTCGCACGCTTCGTGGCTCCATAGGGAGCTCCACCTATGGTCCCAGTGGCAGAGCTCGCATTGCGGCCTCGCCCCCCATTTTGGTACACCACTCACACGCTTCGTGGCCCCATAGGGAGCTCCACCCATGGTCCTAGTGGCGGAGCTCGCATGGTATCCCCGCCCCATTTTGGCACACCCCTCGCACGTTTCGTGGCCCCATAGGGAGCTCCACCTAAGGTCCCAGTGGCGGAACTCGCATGCGGTACCCACGCCCATTTTGGCACACCCCTTTCACGTTTCGTGGCCCCATAGGGAGCTCCACCTAAGGTCCCAATTGCGGAGCTCGCATGGCATCCCCGCCGCATTTTGGCATAAGTTTCACACGTTTCGTGGCCCCACAGGGGACTCCACCTGAGGTCCCAGTGGCGGGTTCGCATGGCATCCCCGCCCCATTTTGGCACACCCCTCGCACGTTTCGTGGCCCCATAGGGAGCTCCACCTAAGGTCCCAGTGGCGGAACTCGCATGCGGTACCCACACCCATTTTGGCATACCCCTCGCACGTTTCGTGGCCACATAGGGAGCTCCACCTAAGGTCCCAGTGGCGGAGCTTGCATGGCATCCCCGCACCATTTCGGCACACCCCTCACACGTTTCGTCCCGCCCCATTTCGGCACACCCCTCTCACCCCATTTTGGCACACCCCTCACTTGTTTCGTGGCCCAATATGGAACTCCACCTGAGGTCCCAGTGGCGGAGCTCGCATGGCATCCCCGCCCCATGTTGGCACACCCCTCACACGTTTCGTGGCCCCGTAAGGGGAGCTCCACCTACGGTCCCAGTGGCGGAACTCGCATGCGGTACCCACGCCCATTTTGGCACACCCCTCACACGTTTCGTGGCCCCATAGGGAGCTCCACCGAAGGTCCTAGTGGGGGTGCCAGGGCCCAACACCACGAGCCATGAGGGGCGCCAGTGGCAGCTTCCCTCATGACTCTCAGAGCCCTCTCCTGCTTCTGCTCCTCGGTAAGGTGGGCGCCGTCTTCGTCGTCGTCGGCGCCCGCGAAGACGGCCGCGAACGTGTCCCTGAGCATGTCTGGCTCCGGCGAAAAGCCGTTGCCACATGGGGAGCGTGGGGGAAGATGGTATTCACAATTGCGGTATTCTCAAATGCGTATGGTTGGGTCTTTCGCAAGGCTGATGTGAATATTTTTGAATATTCCTCCTGTAGAGGGACGCGCCCGACTTAAAGCAAGCAGAGCGGGCCGCCCTCGGGATATGCGCCTGGTGCGTTTCCTCTCTAGCCCGGAGCCCCCCCAGAGAGGCTGACGGCCGCCACGGAGGCGGTGAACGTGGAGTTCGCCATGTACTGCGGGCAGGCGGCCTCCCGCGCTAGGTTTCCTAGATGGGGTCGGAGTAGATGGAGTCGGAGGATCGCGCCGCATCGCCGATGCATCCGCGATGCATTCGCGATGCATCAGCGATGCGGCTCGATGTGGGGCCCAAGTTTCTCCACGTCGACGTCGTCGATGCATCGCCGACGTTGCAAGTGCATGGCCGATACATTGCCGATGCATCGGCGATGCTTCGCCGATGTATCGGCGTTGCGGCGAGATCCTTTGTTCCCATCTATTCGGACCCCATCGAGGAGGCTTCTACCCTCGCGGGAGTCGGGGCGATGGCAATCGCAACCGTTGCACCCGCTGCACCCAGACTCCCTGAAGTCATGAAGAAATCACAACGGGAGGTGTTTCGCCATTTTCGGCCTCTGCGGGCCCTTCCTGGGCTTCGGGGCCGTGGAACAACGGCTCAGGTTGAAAAGCCAGTCCCAGGGAATGGGTCGAGACCTTTGGGGTTCGACGTCATGAGAAAATCATGACGTCGGGGGTCTGGGCACCTCTTGCTCTTACTGCCCTTGGACTTGCCTTTCCCGCCAGAGTTGCCACTTGGCTTGCCTCCTGCCGTCGTGCTGTCGTCCAGCACTCCGTCGAGCTTACCCTTGAAGAATCCCCAGGCTGCCCGCATCTTGTTCATCTTCTCTCGCGACTCGCGGACTGCAGACTCTCCGTTCAGTTGTTTAGTGTTGTCGTTCTGTCCTTTGCGGGCCCTGCCTGATGTGCTCCCAGCGGTCCCCCCCGTGGCCTCCGCCGGCTCTGGAACGAATCTAGACGGAGGGCGGAGGGGGCGTGCCGAACGTCGGCGGCGGGGGCAGGAGGAGGACGAGGCGGATGATGGGGTTGGAGAGGGGGGAGGAGGGGGAGGAGGAGGAGGAGGAGGAGGAGGAAGAGGAGGAGGAGGAGGAGGAGCAGGAGGAGGAGGAGGAGGAGGAGGAGGAGGAGGAGGAGGAGGAGGAGGAGGAGGCGGAGGAGGAGGAGAGGAGGAGGAGGGAGGAGGAGGAGGATGAGGAGGAGGAGGAGGAGGATGAAGGGGCTCGGGGGCGGGGGAGGATTACGTGGATCATATACATCTCATCGCATAGGCCAAGACAGGGATAATGGGAAAGAAGCCACCAGGGCAACCACAACCCGCTCAGCGGGAGCAGAGATGCAGTGGTCAAATCCCCCCGACCCCCCGTCGAAGGCTGATGATCCCGCTGCCCCAGCGGCGGCACGCCGCACGCCCACGGGCGCAGAGCAGCGGAGGGGGGAGTGCTAATCGATTCCTGCGTTGTAGTTGACCAGGAGGAGGAGGAGGAGGAGGAGGAGGAGGAGGAGGAGGAGGAGGAGGAGGAGGAG